CAACACAACTTCAGCACTGTTGTACTCTGCCACACTGACCGCAGTTTTATTGCGTTTCGCTTCTCTCTTTGGTATGTTTTGTTGCTCATTATTGTGCTGTCCACATTTCTCAAATAATCTAGTGATTAGTAGCAGCAAGAAATTAACTGACCAACGTGGTGGGGGCACATAGTTCATTGGCCAGATGGTTGGTACTAGCTGGAGGTATGCAGCTCAAAATTGGATCCCCTACTGCATCGGATTGTTCTTTTTTTTCCTTCTTTCCTAAAGCAAGAATTTCTGTGCGCATTTTAAAACCCACTAAAACATTGCATTCTGGTCCGAATTATTTCCTTTCTTTTGCTTCACTGGATCTTGTTGTTTTGGTGGAAAATGTAACTTGGATAGTGTTGTTCTCCTCTTTTTGAGCACAGTTTCGTTTTGACGCCACATGTATAAGCGCATTTTGATGTGTATATGCATGCCTCAGTAGTACAGGGGTAAGCTGTGTTGATTTTCCAGGTTGCTGGATACAAGTGGCATACGGTACCAGTGTTATCGCATGGGGCGTGAAAAATGGAGAAATCGCTGGCAGAGAAGTTGTTCCTCGAAAAGATGGCCATCCTGAATCGCACATTCGTGCATTTCATCGAATGCTCAGTCAAGGAAATGCCGGACGCCGATCTGGTATGCTACTTTTTAGATCAGACAGTTGGAAATTTGCATGAACGGCTTCATTTGACTTTTCAGACCGGAGACTGATAAATCCGAGAACAGCTAGCCAGAACTCGGCCCCATCCTCTTCCAGTCTCCTGTCCAGGGTGTATCTTTAAAATTTCCGCAACATCTAAATCCAACTCGTTTTATCTTTACCGTTTCTCCCAAGTCGCTGTTAATGAGCTCAGTAAGCTCACGAATTTTATGTCGAACTAGAGCAGTACGGTTCTTTTCCACTGACTAGTTCCTCATCCGTTTGGTTTTTCTGAGATAGTTTTAAAATACAGTTTCTCATTTAACTGATTTTGTTACTTTTTTTGTGTTTTGTCTGACGAGTTCTGTACTGTTTTTAAGAACTAGCGATTAGACTATTCCACTGTCGAAACAGATACTCTCTGTGGTTTCATTTTTCCCGTAATGTTTTCAAGCGTATCTGTTAAGGCTTTTGCTGAACAAATGTTGCTTTGACCATCTTTACTCAAATACCGCATTATTTTTGTCTAAAAAATTAGTGGACGTAATTTGCAGTCACCGAGCGTGCGAGATTATCTCAAGCATGTCGAACATCTCGATCGAACTTACGGAGCAGCTCTCGCTTCCAGCGCCGACAGCAGTACGAACTCCAGGAAGATCGCAACCCTACCTGCAACTGGAACTAATTCAAGAGGCGACTCATCCAATACAAATACATCCTCAAAACCGTCGTTGTTTGGTCTCCCCACAGCAAAAGAAGACGCTAAAACTCCATCGGGCGACTGCAGTTCGTTAGCAGATGACCAAGCTGGCGATACCACCTCGCCTGCAAGGAGCGCCACCGCAGCGCTAGCAGGAGACAGCAGTGCATCAGTGAAAGGCAGCGCCGCAGCATCTGGAACTGCCGCTGCGTTTACTGGAGGCATCAGTGCGCCCGCGTGGAACACTACAGCGCTAGCGGGAGATACCGCCGAGCAAACGAAAGGTGCTGGCACGCCAGCTGGCATTTCCAGGCTAAGCAACACGCCATTCGGAGGCGCCAAAAACACCCCAGTGGTGCCAGCAGCAGCAGCAGGCTGTACACTGACAGGAAATACGAATAAATCAACAGCAGGAGGCACCAGTACGCCAGCAGGAAGCGCCGCAGCAAACATCCCGAAGTTCTCCTTCGGCAGCTCTGACTCGTCACCGGCAACTGCAGACAGTGGTTAGTTTTATACCATTTGCATAGTGATTATATTGCATTTATTGATCGGCAGTAATTACTTTACTCAGCAGCAGCTGATCATTTTTGTTACAAAATATGCGCCTTGTCTATTGGTATGAGCTGATGCAGCATCCATTATTGTTGTGCAGGAACTCGAGGGCTCGAATTCATCCCCGTCCCTTTATGATTTGTTCATCCGTTTCGATGGGTAATTGCTACTCGAACGTGCCAGGGAATTAAACTCCGGCAGCTTGCTTCTAAGCAATCCTTGAAAGAAAGATCCATCCACAGCCATGCCAGTGGATAGTTTCACTTGCTATTTGCTACTTTCTTGCTTCGTACAAGCAAGGTAATTGGCCAGCGCACGGGCTGCCTGCGCGGAGATACGTTTTTTGCATAGTTCCCCGCAGTTTTTGTTGCTACTGGCATCGGCTTTTTCGGCAAATGCTTCTAGCTAAACAAATTAAGACTGGCCGCCAAAACTGTCAGATAACACACCCCTAAAATTTCAGCTTTCTAGCTTTCCTGGCTTTCGAGTTAGCAACTTACTGGAAAAAAATTTCCATGGGCCCGTGCGTGTTTACCACTCATACTCAAGAGTTAGGTTTGAGCTGAATGAAACTTAGGTGGACGGGGTATATTCTCTTAAAATTACAGTCCTTTAGCTTCTGAGGTACTCGAGTTAACAACTTGCCCGAAAAAATTTTGGCGTGCTCGTACTCGAGTACCACGCTCACCCGGGGGCACGGGTTGAGCTCACTAATACCCACTTGGGTGGTGAACATCCTCCTGAGATTTCAGCTTTCTAGCTTCTCAGATCCCCGAGTTGTGAATTTACCCGAAAAAAATTTTGGCGGGCCCATACGCGGGTACCACGCGGGTAATGGCGCCAATTTTGGGGATTGGGACCCGTACGTGCACGTGGATTAAGTTTCCAAAGTTTCAGCCCTGTAGCGTTTGTAGGTCTTGAGATGAACCCAGGCTGGAACGCACCAGGCGGGCCGGTGCGATTATGCGTTTTT